TCAGTCAATCAATCAATCAATCAATCAATCAATCAATCAATCAATCAATCAAAGTATATATGCAAAGGACATCTGCACAAGATACTAGAATCACAAGCTAAAATCTAGTAGTAAGTCAGAACTAGAGTAGGCCCACTGCATCACCGAGAATCTGATCAGTCAACTCCTCTGTAAGTTCTGTTTATTCAATGAGCCTAGTGTGTAGTATCTGTTGAGGAGGCTTGGATATACGCTTACTGTAATGAAGATATTAATCTTTTTTATGCTTTTACCTTGTGCAATTTCTTCATGCAGAAAACAAGCTTTTAAAAACAATAATAATAATAAAAAGAATTCAATGGATAAGATTATATCACCTTAAGAAACTCCTTAGGTTTTCCTATTCCCTCTAAATAGCTGCAGTCCTCATAGTAGCTAACTGATCAATCAATGAATGTAATAATATTATCCATAATAATTGATGAGTGGGATAAGGAATGGATTTTCCTGTGAGCAATAGATGATTATGAACTATCCCTACTAGAGTTGGGGATACAAATACAAATATCGCCATCATAGGGTCCAGGCCCCTTTGACCCTCCCACCCAAAACCAAGTGGTCCATGCACCAGGCTTCGTGTGGCACATGGTGGTAGCATGGTGCCCGTTGCAGAAGTAGCCCAGCCAGCGCTTCTCCACCTCCCTATGCTGCTGACCACTCAGCAGCTGAGTGGGGACACTCATCAGCCCGCCTCCTTGCCAGAGTGGTCAGCAGTGCAGGGAGTTGGGGAACCACTGGCCAGGCTACTTCCGTGATTGGTGCGATGTTGCCAATGATGGACATGTGTGCCATGTAAAGTCTGGTAAGAGGATTGGGCTGCTTCTCGAGGGAGGGAACAGATCTCCATGGTACCTCGAGTAGCATACAGTACTTCATATTCGTATTCTGGGGGATGCAAATATGAAGCTCCCATGTCTAATCCCTACTATGATACAAGTATTTTGGGGTGGTCTGGCCTCAGCTGGGCAATTAAGATTTATCAGCATTATAAAACATCTGATCCTGCTAATAAAACCTGTTAGAAATGGTCTTGTTGATATGGATCAGGACAATGATATATAGATATTTTAATGCTCTGCTTGGGAGGCATGGCTCCTGGGACAGTTATGACGAGCACCTATACTTCAAAGTTACCCACTACACTGCAGCATATAGTTGTTAATCTACTTTATAAGCCAGTCTCGCAGAGGAAATGGAAGAATTCATAGCAGAATTCTAAAGCCAGTGGAATGTTTGTGCAGAATTGTGTTCAGTATGTGTTTGAACTGAGAGTATTCAAGACTGTGTGTAAGTGTGATCCTTTGTGTACACTTAAATGTGAGAAGATTTTGATGATATTAGCCCTCTTGATACTGGGAAAGCATGGAGCGAAGAGAAGTAATTAACACAAACTGTCATTCTTATGCTTGAAGTTATTGCAGTCTTGAATGAAATATGAGAACCTGCTGTTATGGACTTGAATGAAAGAGGATAACCATGCCCCCCCCAAGCATCCATCTCTGTGATTTGAACTACTATTAAGGAGAACAAGATATTCCAGATGAAGACAAGAATGTAAATTTGCCACTAGAATCTTCCTTTTTGTCATAGTAAATCACATTAAAGTAGGTCCACTGAATCAACAAGGATTTAGCAAGTCAACTCCTCCATATGTTCCACTGATTTGAATGGACCTCTTCTGACTGTAACTTACTATGACTCACTAAATCCTCATTGATTTAATGAGCCTACTCTACTGCAATTTACTATCCTAAGCAACAGGATTCTGGCCAATCTTATCGATTCGACCACCCAACTCAAAAGAGCAAGAGTCTAGTTTTACATGAGAAAACAAACTGCATATAAATAATGACATGCAAATATTTTTCATAGTAGTTCTGAAGGGATCAGGAAATGAACAGAACCCTTGTTTTGTTTCTGCACATTTTAAGGCCGCCCGTTTTCCTTGTTGCCCTGGAAAAGACCCTGATGTTGGGAAAGTGTGATGGCAAGAGGAGAAGGGGACGACCGAGGATGAGATGGCTGGACAGTGTCTGCGAAGCAACCAACATGAATTTGACACAACTCTGGGAGGCAGTAGAAGATAGGAGGGCCTGGCGTGCTCTGGTCCATGGGGTCACGAAGAGTCGGATACGACTAAACGACTAAACAACGACGACTAATGGCTCCATTGCTATACCATTATGTCTATGACACCTATTTTGGTCACTTTTTCATGTTGTTTATAACTGAAGTCTGTGGACCTGTGGTACATCTATGGAGTTTTCCCTGCATCTATGCACTCTTGTCAGCTACCTTTAAAAAACTGTTAGTCTGGTACTAAATTTGTTTTAGTGCTATACTTGCAGCTTTAAGATGGCATAAAAAACCCCGCACTTGCCAGCGCCCAGCAAACATCTACAGTTAAGTGCAGCCAATTTTGATATGGTGTGTGCCTCTGTGTGCTTTTTCACTGTCACCTCCTTTTTATCACAGCCCTCACCTCACATCCAAACATGTGACCCTTATCCTCCCATCTCACTGCACACATCTCTGATGACGCTGCTAATAAGGACAGAAAAACCTCACTAAGGAGATACACAGCTGCAAACAAAGACATTGAATTTATCAGTTAAAAACGGAACCAAAATCCCACCCCAATTGTTGAAAGAACAAAAAGGTATAAGGAATTTTGATGGGGGAAAAAGTGCACAAAAGGAGATAAGAAAACATGGTTTGGATTTTAGGAAAGGCCAAGGTGCATTAAGGCAGAAAAATGCTATATCTGGAGAGCTCATGATTTCTGATTGCTTTTATTCAAAGTCATACCTTAAAAGATTTGCAAGTAGCTAGAACAATCCCAACTCAGTATAGGAGGATCATTTACATTGATTAGTTTGAAGCACATGCCATCAGGAATTCTCCATGACACAAAAAAAAATTTCATAAGAGAACCAAAAGGTACAGTACAAGTAAATGTACTGATCTTTAGCCCTTTGTGAGAACAGAAAGGTCACACTATAAATGGTAGTAATGCAGTGCCACTATAAGCTATAATACGAAAAACTCATTTAAAAACTTACCTGGACATTATTCTTCATTTCAAAATGTAACTACTGTATTTTCCCTGTTGCCTGTGAAAGTGACAACAGACTTCTGGCAATTAAGAATATAACCTGCAGTATATAATGGCCATCATAAAGGTTGATGATGAAAGCAAATATTTCTTTTTCACATGTGATTAGAGATCTTGCTATGTGCAATGCCAGTATTTCCCGCCAAAATAATCTTACCTTGTCAACATTCTGCAACTGACAATTTAAGTTGCTTTCATCATTCCCTGTGAAAGGTGCATCAGGTTTCTCAGAACTGAGAATGTGGTCTGCAATCTGAACATGAGGGGTCAGAAAAGTAAACTCATTCTTCCTGGATTCTGAGGAAAGGCAAAGCTGATAGGAATAGGGCAAAGTCCCATCTTCAAAATTAGGTGGAAACATGATACTACCCTTGGAGTGGGGAACCGGTCCAAAACACTGCAGGAATTTAGGATGCCCTGAGCGCCGAATCTTCATCGTAATGGCCAGAATGACTGTCAAGAGGAATAAGAAGGAGATCAAGGCTAAGGCCAGCACCAGATAGAACTGGAGATCAGACTGAGACTCAGAGATGCTTGGCTGGTTCTTCATTTCAGGAAGGGCCTCCTGGAAGTTCTCAGCAAACACCAGGTTCAGAGTAACAGTGGCGGAGAGAGATGGCTGCCCATTGTCCTTCACCATCACAACCAGCCTCTGCTTCACAGCATCTCTCTCCAAAAAAGCCCTGGTTGTCCTGATTTCACCAGTATGAGAGCCAACTGAGAAGAAGCCTGGCTCAGTGGCTTGAACAACATGGTATGAGAGCCAGGCATTGTGTCCAGAATCAGCATCCACAGCCACAACTTTAGTCACTAGGTAATCTCCCTCAGCTGAGCGAGGGACCATCTCAAACGAGGCCGAGCCCTTGGCTTCTTGGGAAGGGGACAGGATTTGAGGTCTGTTGTCATTGCAATCCAGAATAAACACCCTGATGGTGGCATTGCTGCTGAGAGGGGGAGAACCCCCATCTTGGGCTTTCACTCGCAGCTGAAATTCCCTGAACTGTTCATAGTCAAAGGATCGCTGGGTATAGATTGTGCCTGTCTCAGAATGAATGGAGATGTACGATGAGGTGGGAAGCTCTTCCATGTTGCTGTAGAGGATGGAGTATGTGATCCGTGCATTCTGGCCCATGTCTGGATCTGTGGCTTTAATAGTGAAAATGGAGGCACCGGAGGGATTGGTTTCTGGCACATAAATGTTGTAGGAGGATTTCTCAAAAGCAGGGGCATTGTCATTGATATCGGAGATCTGGAGTGGAATTATTTTTTGTGTGGAAAGAGGAGGAGTACCTTTGTCAGTGGCTGTGATTGTAATATTATATTCGGGAGTTTTTTCTCTGTCCAGTGGATTGTTTGTCAAAAGCTTATAATAACTATTAGAGGAAGGAAGAATCTTGAAGGGTAATCCAGCTTGTAAATGACAAGTAACTCTTCCATTCTCCCCTTTGTCTCTGTCATTTATATTGATCAATGCAATTAGAGTACCAGATTGAGAATCTTCCGAGACTGGGCTAAACAAGGAAACTAAGTTTACTTCAGGGTGATTATCATTCTCATCAAGAACCCTTATCTCTACTTTGCAATGTGCCTCTAACCCACCTCCATCTTTTGCTGCAACTGTCATAGTATATACAGATGTTTCTTCAAAATCTAATGAACCCATAAGAATAATTGTACCATTACTACTATACAGACTAAATTTTTCAACGGCATTGACTGGGATGTTATTGAAATAGTACTTTATCTGGGCATTGAAACCTTCATCTAGGTCAGAAGCTACAACTTGAACTACAAAGGATCCAACAGGAGTATTTTCCTTTAGGCTGACCGTATAAAAGTCTTGAGTGAAAATAGGTGGATTGTCGTTGGCATCAGTAACATTGATCCATATCTGGGCAGTGCCAGTTTTGCTTGGTTCACCTCCATCTATGGCTGTAAGAAACAAATGCAGTGTCTGTTCACTTTCCCGGTCCAGTGTTTTCTGTAGCACTAAATCTGCAGATTTGTCTCTATCCTGGCTTTCTTTAACAGCCAAAATGAAATATGGATTGGGACTGAGATGGTAATTCTGGAGACCATTCATTCCAATGTCAGGATCTTCAGCTTTTCCAAGGAGAAATCTAGTTCCAGGTAAAGTGGATTCAATTATCTCCAAATTGATACTGCTTTTCAAAAAAGTAGGAGTATTATCATTAATGTCCTGAATTTCTACAGTTACATGGACAACATTTAAAGGATTTTCAATCACCACCTCAAAATTAATAAGGCAGAGTGAAGTTGTGTCACATATTTTCTCCCTATCTATCCTGTCTTTCACATACAGATTTCCATTTTCTGCACTGATGGTGAAATACTGCATTTTATTCACTGATACAGCATGCAGGTTATGATTTGCTAGTTCTCTGACATTCAGTCCCAAATCCTTGGCGAGATTTCCCACAGTGGAACCCTTTGCCATTTCCTCAGGGATGGAATACCGGATCTGTTCAGGGGCAGCCCAGCAGGAGAAAAACAACAGTAAGAGAAGCAGTACTTGCCTTGTGAGTGCCCTGTCATTCTCTTTTCGTCTTCTTCCCATGTGGATCTCTGACAAAACAGTCACTCCGTATTGAATAGGTTTCTCAACAGAATGAAGAAAACGTCAGTAAGAAAGCATTAACTCCTTTTTTTCTTAATCAATTCAAAGCAGTTTTCGTCTTCTCAGTTACACTGCTCCGCCTTTGTGATCTGTTCTTTCCTATGGCTGTGAAGCATCAAGGTCTAGGAAGTATTGGTGGATTTCCATGTAGATTGGCCAACAGTGACACTATGAGGTTTAAACGGAGAACTGCAAGAATTCCATCTGAATCAGACATAATACAGATACTGTACATATATTTTAGGCCCAGATTTATTGTTTTCTGTGACAATGATGAGCATGATGTAAATTCTGTATTGAAGTCGTAAAATATAATGCAAAGTGATGTACTGAAAAATCTGAACAAATGGAGGAGCTTATCAAAGACTACAGAAAAACATGTGTGTTTTCTCCTTATTTATTTGACTTATAGTCCTTCCTTTTCCTGGACTCAGGATTCACATGCAGCACACAGAACACCATTTTTTGTTCCCCCGCCCTTAGAAAAAAAACAGGGGAAGTATGGGTAAACCGAATTACTTTCTCCTTGTCTCTTGATAAGTTCAGAACAAATTAACACAGCACTGGGTTGGTGTTTTCACTTTCAGTTGCCTAACTAAATGACAGGTAACAGTGTTAAGTTATATACAGATTTCATATAGTGGAAAGACAAAGAACAACAGTACAACATTACAAGATTAATGGTTCCAGCTAGCAAACATACCAGAGCCACCTCTTACTACCTCTTGGCAGAGTGGTCAGACTGCAGTATTGCAGTCAGAATTCTGCTCACGGCCTGCGTTCAATCCCAGCGGATTCAAGCAGCCGGCTCAAAGTTGACTCAGCCTTCCATCCTTCCAAGGTCAGTAAAATGAGTACCCAGGTAGCTGGGGGTGGAGGTGTGGGGTGATGTGTAGCTTGTATAATTAAAATGTAAACCACCCAAAGGGTGCTTTAAGAGCTATCGGGCAGTATATAAGCAGCACACTTTGTTTTCACTATTCTCACTGTTCAGTGAGATATGACAGGAGATGCCTGGTAAAAGAACAACTACCTCTCCCAGTAACATAGAGCAAAACACACAAGGCACACATTGAACTTCTGATTCTCCCTCCTCCATTTCACAATGCTTAACTTCATTGATGTAATGTCCAAGAATGAAAAAAGAGATAGTAAGGTGGTGCTTATGGGGCCTCACTGATAGACATGTCTCATAAGGCGTAGTTCTGCTATTCTTAAGAGTGAAAGACCCCTGTTCTCTCATCTACTGTTTGAACTGTATTAAAAATGATAGTTTTTAAAAACAGCATCAGCATCAGGGCCCTGCCCACCTGAGAATGTTGCAAAACTATTTGGTCCTTCACCTGCTTGTACACATGGCTTCCTAAAACCAATAGCTTAGGGTCCATCACGTAAAGCAAAAGCCTCCTTCCCTCCTGAAGTAACAGAAGACCTGTATCTGAGCTGATGGTGAAAGTTAATACAAAAGGTAGTTGAACGTTCAACCTGCAATGCAAAGGTTCCAGTCAGGAATACGGTACAGAATAATAACTTAAGCAGAGGAAGACTACACTCAAAATAGTACACTCACATACCCTTGGAACCAGCTGGTGTGTTTCTTATAAAATTAAAGCAGTGTTTGCAAAATGAAAAAAGTAGGATTGGTACTGATGGTATAAAAGTAAAATATCAAGTTAGAAACAAAATTAAAATAAAAAATAAAGACAAAAACATTGTGGCACCTTAAAGACTAACTGCTATATACTTATCCCTTCAACTTTGTGGCACTTTAAAGACTAACCGCTATATACTTATCCCTTCAACCATGGGGGTCAGCTGCATTGTACCCCCATGTAGTTTTAAATCCATGGTTTATTCTTATATGCCCCAAAATATAACTATAAAAATAATTATTTGATGCACAAAAATGCACAAAAATGATGCACACCTCCCCACTGACCTGCATCAGCCTCCGGGCATGCCTCTGCACCCTTCCCAGCCGCCACGTGGAACCACCATGCCAGGAGGGGGGGCTGGCTGGGCCACTGACATTGGACCAGGAGCCGAAGCACCACCACCACCAGGGACCTGGCGAGAGAAACACCCTAACTCTCAAGGCTTCTAACTTTCCATCCTCCTCTTAAAAAACAACAAACACCGCTTGTATTCTGACTTGTGAGATTTTATCCAAGCCCTACCCACTCATTTTCGTTATCCTTTTTCTTTCCATCTGCCTACCTCCTCACCTTTCATGATAAATATTTTTAGTCAGCTCACATTGACCCGCCTTCCCTCATACCTCCTGCTCCCTCTGCCCAGTGCTTTGTCCCCCCAATTGCTACTCCAGCCTTAATCACCCTCAGTTCCCCTCATCAATTAAGTAGCTCTCCACCATCCAACGTGTCTTGAATTTTGGTAAATGGGCCACTGATGTCAGTGGCATTTGCTATTAGTAACTGTATCGCTGCAGTTGTCTCAGCATCCCACCCTGAAAAAAAATATGTGGAAGTAAATCTATGAGTCTTTCTGAAAACATACATTATAGAAACATCAAGGCTATGGAATCAGCACCGGGCTTTTTCATGCAATATCAAGTCTTGGTCTCCTGAAATCTAATATATTCTCACTTGATCTAACAAATCAAATCAAATCCATATATTAATATGCCTGTACCTAATTAAACAGATAGCACACCAGGCTCAAATGTTTTGGATGCACTCAGGAAGGCAGAGAATAAAGTCTCTACCATTATGATCACTGAAAAATCATGTAAAACAAAAAGTAATAGTGTATCCAGGCTCAGAAATAACAACACTGTTGAATACATAATGTCATGACACCCAACTTTTTCTTTTTATGTTTCTATGGGTGACTGCAAATCGAAGTGTATTTGCCTAGATTACTATCACTAAATACAGCTAAGACTTTGCAATTCTTCTTCTAATTATATAAAATCATACAAGACTTACCTGAAGCATGGCTGAATTCATATTATCACTATTAAGATCACAAGGGAAGAAGATAGGATCATTTATTTCACAGGACTGCTCATTGATTGATGAATCTGTATAATTGCCCTCTGGATAATTGCAATGGTCTTTCTTAGAATTTCTAGTCAAAGAAACCTCATGGCAATAAGAGTGAAGAAAGGCCCGGACTCCATCAATTCCTACAAACTGTGACACAGGAACACCACTAAAATTCAAACTCCCAGACTCAAGAAACTGAGCATTTCTCCATCTGTACAACTTCAGGGCCAGCAAAACAAGAAGGAAGGTAAAGAACAGGCAGGAGACAAAAGCTACAGCAACCACCAAGTGGAAGGTGAGATCTGATGGGGGATCTATGGGAGATGAGATGCTGCTCAGGTCTGAGAGGATTTCAGGAATGTTGTCAGCCAGCACCACAGTCACCGTCACTGAGGCAGAAAGAGATGGTTGCCCATTGTCCTTGACCAAAATCACCAGGCTTTGCTTGAGGGTGTCCTTCTCTAGAAAGAACCGAGCTGTCCTGACCTCTCCAGTGTGGAGCCCCACAGTGAACAGCCCTGGTTCCGTGGCCTTGATCAACTGGTAAGAGAGCCAAGCATTTTGGCCAGAATCTGCATCCACAGCCACTACCTTAGTGACCAGATAACCTGGCTCTGAGGAGTGAGGGGCCAGCTCTATCCCAGTGGAGCCATCGGTGGGAGGGGAAGGGTACAGGATTTCTGGTGCATTGTCATTCTGATCCAGGATGAAGAGGGTCACAGAGCCGTTGAAGCTGAGGGGTGGGGAGCCTCCATCCTGGGCCTTCACCTGGAAGTTGATCTCTCTGATCTCTTCATAATCAAAGGAGTTCAAGGCATAGACAACCCCAGTCTCTGAATTAATAGAGAGATAGGAGGAAATGAGGGAATCTCTGCTGTATCTTTGAGCCATGGAATATGTTATTCTGGAGTTTTCTCCCCAATCTGGATCATCTGCCTTCAGTGAGAATATGGAGGCCCCTCTTGGGTTATTTTCCATTATGTAAGAAATATGGACTTCTTGTAGGAAGTGAGGAGGATTATCATTTATGTCTAAAATCTGGAGTGGAATAAGAGTAGTTGTAGAAAATGGGGGGGTCCCCTGATCCATGACTGTGACAGTAATGTTGTAGGCTGCCACCTGTTCTCTGTCTAGGACTTTGGTTGTCACTAAATTGTAAAAATCATCAACAACCTTTTGCACTTGGAAAGGGATTTGGGTGCCAATGGAATACGTGACTTCCCCGTTTATTCCAGAATCTTTATCTTGTGCTCTCAGAATTGCAATAACTGTTCCCGGTGGTGAATCCTCAGGAATTGAGTTGATTTGAGAAGCTACTTCCACTTGGGGTGCATTATCATTCACATCTGTAATGCTAACCAGTACTTTGGATCTGTCAAAGAGGCTTCCCCCATCCTCTGCTTGTACCTCAAACTCATATGAAGGTGATTCCTCATAATCAAGATTTCTTACAAGTGATATTTCTCCTGTAGTAGAATCTAAGAGAAAGATCTGGGAAGCTGCTTCTTCAATTTTTCTGAAGGAGTATTTTACCTCTCCATTGATCCCTTCATCCAGATCAATGGCACTTACTATGCACACTGTGGATCCTTTGGGGAGATTCTCTTTGACTTCCACTTCATAGACAGGTTGGCTGAAAACTGGAGCATTGTCATTTGCATCTAGGACAATGACTTGAATTTGCACATTTCCAGACTGAACTGGAACACCTCCATCGGTAGCTGTTAGGATTAGGTCATAAACTGATTTCTCCTCTCTATCTAGTGATTTTTCCAATACCAGGTCAGCATGCTTGACGCCATTTTCTCCCATTTGAACATCCAGAGAAAAATATTCACTCCCTGTGAGATGGTAGCTCTGTACTGAATTCATGCCCACATCTGGGTCTTGAGCTTCAGGAAGAGGAAACCGAGACCCCACCGTAGATGCCTCACTGATTTTCCATGTCTGTTCCCCTTGTGGAAAGTAGGGAGCATTATCATTTATATCTCTAATTTCTACTTCAACTCCATAAAGCTTCATTTTACTGTCCATTATAATCTGGAAATTTAGCAGGCACTTACCAGCTCCACTGCAGATCTTTTCTCTGTCTATTCGTTCCCTGGTCTGTAGATGTCCAGTGTTGAGATTCAGATTAAAATACTGAATTTTATCATGAGCAGAGAGAATGCGCACACCTTGTTCAGAAAGATCCCTTACACTGAGTCCCAGAGCCTTGGCAATATTTCCGACTGAAGAACCTTTCTGCATTTCCTCTGCAATGGAATAGTGGATTTGTCCAGCAACAGCCTCCCAAACAGTTAGCAACAGAAAGATGAATAAAGCTTGATCTTTCCAACTTCCCAGTCTCAGAAATGCTCCCATTTTTATATATGAAAAGACTCGTCTAGTTCTGTTTTGTTGGTGAGAAGCCTCTTCTTTTCAACCAGGGTTATCAGAGGCAGACAAAGCTCAGACAAAGCTCATTTGGTGAGCATCCAATTCTGATTTTTCCGTAGAACAGCCAGGCTTCTGTAAGCTGGATCCTTGTGTGCTTCTGTAGCATGTTGGTGAATAGCGACATCTAGAGTCTCAGTACGTGCAGCTCAGGTGCCAGAGTACAGTTCTTCCATCAAAACAAATAGGAATTCTGTCACCGATTTGACAGAAGCACAGATTAAAGCCTACCAGTTCCACGGTCTCATTCTAAATTATTGGCTTATTAATGAATTTCAAAAACTTTTTTTTCTAATGCTCTTCATATTAGAAAAATGCAGCATTTACGTCAAGTAGCACAGGTCAGAAAGAAAAGTAAATTCAGTCCTGCAAAATTGTCTGTTTTATTCTGCTCTTACTTGGACCACTGACAAAATCAATACCATTATTATTTATGAAATAATAATACATGTGCAAATAAATTAACACAATATCCATGTTCTTCCTTGTGAATATAATTTTTGAGTCATATGATGTAGAGCCACTGAGTGAAAATACTGCTGCTGCTGTTACTACTACTAAAATTGCTTGGCCAATATATGAAGATTTCAAGTGTTCAAGTACTTCACAATTTATACTTCAGTAATTTTTACAATATTTCTCTATGATATGTTCACAACTGCCTATTATCAGCAACCCCATAATGCAGTAGGGAACTGAGGCTCAGAGTGGAAGGTCCGTTAGTAAGAGTTGTCGAAGTTGGATTGGATTTAGTTATTTATTTTTTTGCTCTTATTTTAAAGTATTATGTGCCATTAGTTCTCTGATTTAACTCTGTATTCCACCATACATTAGATCTTTAACCTGGTCGACTCACAGATCTCTGAAATGGTGTCCCTGCCTGATAATTTTACATATGCTGTAAACTTCATAGGCCGCAATAGACCCTCAAATCCTTATTTGAAGTTTTCCCAGACCAGTTAGCCGAAACTGAATACAATATGGACTGCCTCTGAACATCTGTGGTGTATACCCTGCAATATGAACCTAAACATGTATACTCAAAAACAATTTCCACAGAGTTCAGTGGATTCAGCAGTTAATAACAGCTAACAGCAGATAGGAACACATATTTCCAGTCTTGGCATATCTTCATTGGCTCCCTGTTAATTTCCATGACCAATTCAAGGTTCTGATCATGACCTATGAAATTCTTAATGGTTTAGTATCTCAACACCAGTCACAACATCTCTCCCACAAAACAGAGAATCCACCCACTCCTTGCAGTCGTTGATGTTAAAACTGATGACATCTAAGGAGGCCAAAAAAAGCTAACACCAGGAACCAAGTATTCTTAATCATGACCCCTTCCCTCTGGAACAAGCATCCAGCCAAGGTTTATTGGGTGCCATCTCTCTCTGTTTTTTAGGAAATGTTTAAAAACATAATTATTTAAAGCTGCCTTTTATTAATGCTTTTAAACATTGACCTGAGATGTCCAAATTTATTTCATATTCATTTAATTCTATTTAAATGTGGGTTGTAATGCTAGTGGAAGAATGTATTCGCGAAGGCTTTCATGGCCGGGATCTAATGGTTGTTGTGGGTTTTTCGGCTTATTTGGCCATATTCTGAAGGTTGTTCTTCCTAAAGTTTCAGCAGTCTCTGTGGCTGGCATCTTCAAGATGATGGCCACAGAGACTGGTGAAACGTTAGGAAGAATAACCTTCAGAACACGGCCAAAGAGCCCGAAAAACCCACAACAACCACTAGTGGAAGAATATTACTTATTTTATTGTATTTATTGTATATTGTAATTTTGAATTGTTGATTTTAATGTGATTTGGCATGTAGTGAACTGCCCAGAGAATGTTCACACTAATGGGGCAGTATACACATTGAAATAATAAATTAATGAATATGTAAATAAATTGTCCTAGAGCTCAGAGGTTACTTGTCCATTAATGCCTGACCCTTTACCACAAATGTCAATCAGTGCAATGACTATGACAAATGAAGTGTCTTTAGGAACTAGGGTCATTATAGAAACAAGTATTTGGAGAATTACCATTCAGATCAATATTTTCTATATCTACCTTGCATTGTGTTTCTAGTCCATCTCTGTCGTTTATCTGTATTACATAGTTTCTTTTCTCTCCAAAATCTCCTTAACTGCAATTGTGCTATTTCTGGGATTCAGCCTGAACATCTAGTACAGTAGAACCTGATTCACTTATCCAAAGTCTGAAAATATTCAAAATATTAAAAGAAACCCCCCATATATATATTTCTACTTAGAGTGAGCCAGAGACCATGCTATATATAGCATTAGATATAATAGTAGTGTTCGCTACAATCTGTGCTTTTCAGCCATCTGCAGCAGGGGTTGAGTGGCTGAAACTGATCACCTGCGATTACAGGGGTCGTACTGTAATCATTCTCTGTGATACTGGCATCTCGTTGATCTCAGAATTTGAACCTGTATCTATACCAGAGACTTCAACCTGAAGTGTGTTCTCATTCAAATTTAACTTACAAAACGCCTGAGTGAAAACTGGTGGGTTGCCATTAGCAACTGTGATATGAATCCACACTTGAGCATTTACAGTTCTTATTGGTACTCCCCCACTCAAAGCTGTGATGAACAATTGGAGGGCATATTCCTTTTCTCTGTTCTGTGGGTTTCACAACATTAGATTGCAATATTTCCCATCCCATTTTTGTGTCTAGGGTGAACTACAACTTGGGAGCCAGATGGTAATTCTGGATGGCATTTGTTCCAACATCTGCATCTTTGGCATTTCCAAGAATGAACTGGGTATCCAGTAAAGTCGATTCACCGACTTCTAGTTTGACTCTGAGGTCGTCCGCACTTGTATATAGATCAGTATATGGATTGCTGTTGGCAGCCTTTGGATAGGACCAAATGATGACATCCATACATGTTTCCACTTAGATAAATTCATTGTGTCCCTTTAAGACCAGCTGCACACTTTTCTCGTACAGTGGTACAGCATGTATTCATTTTGGTATGATTCACTGCAATCCTTAATTGCTTGCGTAGGTTGTGAAGATGATTAGCCCACAACCAAATGGCACTGTGAGTAGCGTTAACTCAACAGACAACCGTGTGACATATTAGGTGGGCCATGACACTAAATGGGAGTGTGGAGAAACACCCTCCTTTATTTTTGTCTTTTTTTCTTTAATACTTCCCTAAATGATGAGGCGAAATTCTAAAACCACACTGCCATTTCAATATGCCATTTACTTTATTTAGCAAAAAAAAGGGGGGGAGGGAGTCATCCCAGCCCCCTGAATGATGGCTGAGGGAAAAGGCAGGGAAAGGGTTTATCCTGACTCCATGGGCTCCACCCCCACAATGAGTTTTGTATTTCATATTAGAGGAGAATACCCAATGGAATGTTTAATATATCACCATTATTCTGCATGCTGGAGATTAATAATAGCTTCATACTATCAAAACATCTATCCAAATACTGTACCCAAATGACTTTTATCAGCATTTTAAATTGTTTTAATCAAAAGAACTCATTCTGTGAACACAAGAAGCTGTCCCTGAACAGACTGTTTGCCTACCTAGTCCCTACTATTCTGTAATTCTGATCACCAGCATCTGTCCAGTCTCTAATGTAAGGGTTCTTCTTAGCTCTACAAGAGGAAGTCTCCTTAGCTGGAGGATGATGAGGACTGAACTGGGGAACCTTTGCATGGAAAGCATGAACTCTATTCCATGAATTCTTATAAACCCCTCTCCATCTATCTTGTGTGTTATCAAATTGTTATCAATGTTGTGTGTTATCAAATTGTTTCTGACTTATGATAATCCTAGTAGAGTTTCTGTGGTCCATGAGCTATTGAAGGGGTGATTTTACCAGTGCTACCCTGTAGTGAGTTTTCATGCCCAAACAGAGACTTGAACCTAGGTCTCCTGAGACCTAGTCTGACATTCTATCCATTTTACTTGTGTGTTATCAAATTGTTATCAATGTTGTGTGTTATCAAATTGTTTCTGACTTATGATAATCCTAGTAGAGTTTCTGTGGTCCATGAGCTATTGAAGGGGTGATTTTACCAGTGCTACCCTGTAGTGAGTTTTCATGCCCAAACAGAGACTTGAACCTAGGTCTCCTGAGTCCTATTCTGACATTCTATCCATTTTATTGCAGTAGCTCTCAGTCTCTATACATCTACATTAAACCAAGGAACACATGGTTCCCTTCACCAGAAATAATATACTATACACATCAATATTGCAGATATATCAATAGCTAGCAAAGGAATGGTTTTGGGGATGTAAACATCTCCCTTGTCTTCTCCTTGCACATGAGGACAAGGAATCACAATTTTTCCTTCTTGTCTTATGAGGAAGAGAAATTCTCTCTTGGTCTTTTTAATTTTGTAATTTTTAAAAAAGTTTTAACAGCTAGGCATAAGGTAAGCAGTACAAAAGGTAGAGGGGGATATGGGGGAAAAGAGGTGGAAGGGGAACACAAAATGTACTGTCATCCAATCTGTTTGTTCATGTTGCAATATCAAGTCAACTTTTCCTCTTTCTACAATTTGATTGCCCTCCAGGTTTCAACTTACAGTTATATCTTAGTTTAATTCTATGTTATTCAAGCACTCTCTGGTGACTCAAGCCATTTATATAATAAATCCCATCGTTCAGTTGCCTTTTGTATTGGACAGTCTTTCAACATTTCTGATAGAATATCCAATTCTGCCACTTCCCATATCTTCTCAATGAGTTCTTGTTTTTGTATCTCCGGTTCCTTCCAATTCTTAGCATAAAGAATTCTGGCTGCAGTGACTATATATATAACTAGGTAGTTCTTTGTCTTATCTATATTATCTGGTATAATGCTCAGTAAAAACAATTTTTGGGTTACTGGAACATTACAAAGCAGTATTTTTTGTAACAGAGTATGTACTACTATCCAATACTGTTTCACTACTCTACAAGTCCACCACATATGGTAAAAGCGTCCCTCTTGTGCTTCACACTTCCAACAAACATTTGACACCTCTGTATAAATCTTTAACAATTTTTGGAGTCATATGCCACCTATAAATCATCTTATATATGTTACCAATTTTGTGAGCTTTATGTTATTTTTCCATATTTGCAACCATTGATCAATATTATGTCCAATATTTTGTGCCCACATAATTATACATTATTTTGCCATCTCATCTTGCATTTTAATTTCCAGCAAATAATCATACATTTTCTTAATAACTTTATGCTTCGAGCCCAGCAGAAGTTTATCGACTATCGTTTGTTCTGTGCAAAAGCCCTCTATCTTTACTATACCTAGATTCCACTTGTGCTCTGGACCACCAGTCTAGATATATGTTTTGTGTTTCTAACTCTTCTTTGGACGTTAACTCACAATCATTTTAAATAGATCTTGATATCTTTAAAGTTTTTCTTCTGTCATTACTCACTTCCCAAAAAAGTGCTACAAAGAATAGCTCCTGGATAAATCCAGCTAGACCCATTTTACAGAACTATGGGATTAACACGGAGTCCTTGCCCACTATTGCCTCTAATAGAGCCAAGCATCTGGTTAAAGAAAAAAAAGTCTTCACTCTAAGTGACTGTATTTGTGTGCCATCTCACAAATGTCCTATTCTCGTTGGTTCCCCCTGTACAAAACATCATTTGGTTTGAGAATTATTTTGTTTATCTAACCTCAGCCCCTTTAAGAAGAGCATTCATGGCTTTGCATTTTCAGTGTATGCCATCAGCCATTTTGGAGGGAAGATATGATAGTGTCCCATTTCATCAAAGACTCTATATCTGTGGATCAGGAAAGACTGAACATACTTCCCATGATTTATTAAGTTGCCCTTTATATGAGCACCCCAGAAGCCAATTTCTTGCTGGCATTCTCAACTCCTGCATGATAGACCCCCCCCCCCCCCCTGGCTGAA